ATATACCGGGTGACTCAAAAAAATCAATGAATGCGTGAATGTATTTAATTAATTTAATCAAGATCTATAAAACCGCTTTGAAATTTTGGAGATGTTTCAAACTTATCATAAACATGGTAATTTTTTTTATCAAAATGTATGTGCTCATCCCCTCTAAAAAACTGATGACGCCACCTCAAAATTTTGCTCAAAAAATCCTATTTTAAACGTGTAAAGTATGATGACTCTATACTTGTGATATCACTGAATTAAAATTTTTTTATTTAGATTTTTTATTAGATTTGCTTATTATTGCTTGTTATTCATCTTTGCTTTTATATTTTTTATTGATCAAATTAAGAAGAACACATTTTGTCGATTGTAACTTACTAGTTAATTGTTTTGATCCTCTGTTTTGAGGGAACGAACTCATTCAAGTCAAACTAATTTCTACGTGACATTCTCCCGATGTAAAAACAAACACTTTCAAGTTGTTTTTCTTATCGAGGATAAACTAAGGACATACAGTATTGGAGTCCATTGCTTAATTTGGTACTTTCAAATTTTCTCGATATTTCATAAGGCCCTAGCAAGGGGGAGGCTAGGCGATGCTCCTTTAGATCTAGACAAGTTATAATTAACCAAATGTGAATTACAGCATCCAGAAACCAAATAAAATGTAGAGTTTTATTCAATAAACGGAAGTCAAAGCAATAAGAAAGTCTGGACCGTCGGCATTGTCATCCGGTTATTGCAATTCGTAGAAAACATGTTTTAGTTTAATTTGTGTTTCACCGTCACGTCTACCGGTTGATAAGTGTTATGGCTATTTGTCTTAAATTACAAGTACTATACAGGGTGTTCATTTTATCTGTTCACGCCTGACAATTTTTGCATAGGCAACATATTATACACCCCAGAGACGACTTCGTCTAATTTATTTATTTATTTTTTTTAATAAACAATCATAGCAATCACAGAAAAAAATGACAAAGATGTCAATGCAAAATATTGACAAAATTGAGAAAATTAATACTCAAAAAACATAATAGGCATGCAGTCGTCACGTTTCCGACAGCGAGGGAAGTAGTGTCTAAACTTTTTAGACCATTTTTTTTATATTATGAGTGAGAGAAACGCTATTTTATATTATAAGCCAGTGAGAACCTAAGACCACGAGTGATTTTGCGTTTTAAACGACGTTTTATGCTACTGTAGACAGTAGTAGATTTTACATAAAATTAAAAATAAGGTGAATCCAGTGACAGCTCGTGACCTCAAATTTCGGTGAGGCAACCCTTATGACGTAAACATGGTTAAATATAAGTTTTTTTTTATATCTGTAAATTACTCTACTCTCTCGGTTGAAAGTGATACCTGAATATCCGCGATTCAAAAAATTTCCACTTCCATTTTGCCCACACTTGCCGACTTACTTAGGAAGTTTGGAATAATTGTCAGTTGGTATTATACGCCAATATTAGATGAAAATTTATTGAATCACGAATTCGGCGTTTTTTATAGGAAATTTGAACATAAAAAACTATTGACAAAAATGTACCACATAATCAACTGTCCGGCAAGAACCATCGTGGAGGTGTGGAGTTTTCTTGCCAGGAAAGAAGGATAGGGCAGAATAGGAAACAGCAATGATAAGTAGTGGAAAGTTTAAAACAAAGATAAATAAAAAATATCTTACAGTAACATGAGGTTTCGAACAATTGCTTCAAAATCATGGTAAATAATAAAAAAATATAAATAATGTAAACAATAACAATACTTATGGATTTTGAACAATGCTTCAAAACCTTTAAAACAAAAATATAAAATCAAAAACATGAATTCTGAACAAAAAAAAAACTAAAACAATTGAACATGGCATGCATACCCATTTAATAGCTATTTACGATGTTAGACCGGTAGCAACATTTTTATGGCCGCGCCAAAACTTTACAGGGTGAGCCGTAGTCGAGATCTGTATGTTTGGTAACACCATAAAAATGCTACCGGTCGTATATTGTATAAAATTTTTTAGGATACTACAACAGTTTCAAAAATTCATGAAAATAGTTATTTTTGTATTAAGTATTTAATCGTTTTTTTTTGTAGATTTCGTACACGAAATCCAAACAACGTTTTTCTACAACTGCTGCTATCTAAGAGGTCCACATCTGACTTGTTTATTCATAAATAAAAAAATCCTAAACGGTTTGCGCATTTTGTCACATATATTTTGAGTACTTTATCGGGGCCCAAACGATGGCTTTTGGCTCTAGTAATAGCGATGATGTACCACTTGATGTGGAAACCGCTGCCGCTGCAGCAATTTCGAATCTCCTGCCCAGCAAATCGAAAGAAATGTATGAGAAGAATTCCGTGAATGGTGTACTAAGATTATTATTAATATTAAAAGTATCAGAAAATGTACTACTAGCAAATTCAGAAGAAAAATCTAGAAATGTAAAACCACTAACGTTCTGGAATGCATTTTCCATGCTGAAACCCACATTAAATGTCAAGGAAAACATTGACTTTACTTTAAGTTAAATAAAGTAACCTATAAATCAATAATTCGCATACGACCGAATTTGTGGTAAACTAAAAAAAAATGTCAGACTAATCATTATTGATTGGTTTGTCCGATAAGAGGATCCAAATTTGATAATTACTGTGAAATGATGATGGACAATTTTGTTTGTATTCGACGTCAGGGGCCTGTTGCACAATTAAAATAATTTTACAAGTTGCAAAATACAATTTACAAGTTACAAAATATTTGAACTAGTAATTCGTATTGCACAATCTAAAAATAATTACTTGTAAATTGAGCGACAATTCTACAAGTAGTTAAAACAATATATTAGTAAAGGTTGTGACTGTCAGAGAATTTGTCAAATAGTTTTTAAGTTTTGTCAAAATGGGCAAGCGCGATGAACAAAGAAAATTAAAAAAAAAAACAAAAAAAAAACGTGGGGGAAGTGGGCGACTCTATAAAAAAACTTTTCTATTTCGTTAGGAATATTTTCTGGCCATCTAACAATTCGATTTAAAAGAACATTATTCACTACATTCACTACTCTTTGAACAGTACGGCAAACAGTGCTCTTGTCAACTCCATGTGCATCACCGACTATGTGGTATTGGGCGCCACATCCAAGCCAGTGTAAAGCTACAGATAACTGTTGCTTTGGGGTTAAAGCACCACTTTTACTAGTATTATGCAGGAGTAGAGGCCCTATTTCATTTAGAAGCAAATCCAATTTTTCTGCGGACATTCTAAATCTTTCCGTATGTTCTACACTTGTTTAAAAATTGAAATTGATCCTCGGACGAAATATTTTTCTTCTCCGGTTTACCTGCCACCTATTTGGTTCTTCATCTTCACTAGACGAGTCAAATAACAAGTGTCGCAACATATTTTTATACTTGTAAACAAAATTATTGGAGACTACCGACTTGTAGAAATTTCATTACTGAAACGTCAAAATTTCTACAAACTAATGAAAATTATTTTATTTGTGCAACAAACACTTGTAAATTCGTAGAAATTATACTAATGGGTTTGAAAACTATTAGTTGTAACTTGTAAAAATTTATTAAATGATTGTGCAACAAAATTCCACAAATTACAATTTACAAGACTAATATTATTAGACTTGTAAGTATTGTGCAACAGGCCCCTGGGGCCTGTTGCACAATTGAAATAATTTTACAAGTTACAAAATACAATTCACAAGTTACAAAATATTAGAACTAGTAATTCGTATTGCACAATCTAAAAATAATTACTTGTAAATTGAGCGACAATTCTACAAGTAGTTAAAACAATATATTAGTAAAGGTTGTGACTGTCAGAGAATTTGTCAAATAGTTTTTAAGTTTTGTCAAAATGGGCAAGCGCGACGAACAAAGAAAATTAAAAATGTCTGTTTTGGCAAGAATTAAAGACGACAAAGGTATTTTATTCGGTGCATTTAGCCAACATGTGACCAAAATAGCAAAAATTGAAAGGTGGAAATTAATTTATAATCATGCCCAGTCTCTAGGATTAGTGCCACCAACAAAAGACTGGACATATGTCCGCGATGTTTGGTGGCCTAATGTGAAAAAAGCCACAATGGTAAGCATTTAAGACTTTGACAAGTGTATTGATTACTATTATTATTTACAAAAACTATACACACACTTTAATGTGATAATAATAGGAGAAAGTCGATAATTATAAAAAAACGGGAACTGGAGGCGGCCCGGAGAAAAAATTGACCGATGTCGATGAGGAGGTGCTCGATATCCTCGATAAAGAGTCACCTGCCATTCACGGGCTCGGGTTAGAACCCGAGCCAATGAGTGAAGATATAATTGAAATTCAAGGTAAGCAAATTTAGCTAAAAAGTGTAATAAAAAAATAGAAAATATGAATTCTGAACGATTTGTTATTGTAGTGTAATACTATTATAGTTAATTTCACATATTTTCCAGCTGAACAGGCACACGAAGTAGCAAATGAATTACATCCAGAAAGAGAATCAACAAGTGATTTAGTTTGTGAGTTAATTGATTATGTTCCATTCGTTTAATTAGTGCAAATAATAATTTATAGTGCCCGAAAAAAAGAAAAAGGAACAAAGAAAAGAAGAACAGAAACACATGTCCCCTAGAAGAACCATATTTAAACAAAGTAAATAGTACACAGCACGGTAATTAATAAACTATATTATTTTTTAAATTGGTTTCAGAAACTGCGACAGCCGGACATGAAACTAATAAAGAAAAAAAGGAAAAGCTGCAAATGGAACTATTGAAAGTTGAAATTTATAAAACCAGACTTGAAGCTCGGCAACTAGAAATTTCTTTGGGATTGCCAGAAAGTGAATTTACCAAGGACTTGCAAGCAAATGACACAGATTAATTTTAGTTTTCTATTATTCATGTATTAATAATTAGTTTTTGTTTTTTTTTTTCTTATTTCTTGTTACCATTTATTATAATCTTGTTTATTAAAAAGTTAATAAGTTCGTAAATTAATTGTTCATTAAGTTTAAAATTTGTTCTTGACGAAGAATGGCGGCTCTAATCGGTACTTCCCGCTCAGGATGATCTAGAACAATGTTCTCATCTTCTTGAAGAATTAGATTATTTTCGTTTAGAACTTCAACTTCATCATCATTTACACCAATACGTGCAAAATTGCAAAGCGTAGTGCAACATTTTACAATATTTGCTGCATATCTAGGTTCTACACGAAGATGGTGTAAGCATGGAAATTTTTCTTTCAAGATGCCCAGAGCTCCCTCTATGACCTGCCTAGTACCCTTGTGCCGTCTGTTGTACCTTTCTTCCAAAGGATTGTTTGGGTTGTTGTGTCTTGGCGGCATCAACCATTGTTTCAACGGATAGGCTGTGTCACCCAAAATTACAGCATTGGGAAATATATTTTGCCGTTCAAACCGTCTATACAAATTGCTGTTCCGCATAACTCTAGCATCATGAACACTTCCTGGCCAGTTTGCACTCACGTAGTAAAAAAATTTTGTTGCTCCACACACAAACATACAATTAATCGAATGGTCTCCCCATCGATCAACAAAAGCAGGTTCATTGTTTGTAGGTGCGTCAATAGGTATAAGCGAACCATCTACAACACCACAAACGTGGGGGAAGTGGGCGATTCTATAAAACTTTTCTATTTCGTTAGGAATATTTTCTGGCCATCTAACAATTCGATTTAAAAGAACATCATTCACTACATTCACTACTCTTTGAACAGTACGGCAAACAGTGCTCTTGTCAACTCCATGTGCATCACCGACTATGTGGTATTGGGCGCCACATCCAAGCCAGTGTAAAGCTACAAATAACTGTTGCTTTGGGGTTAAAGCACCACTTTTACTAGTATTATGCAGGAGTAGAGGCCCTATTTCATTTAGAAGCAAATCCAATTTTTCTGCGGACATTCTAAATCTTTCCGTATGTTCTACACTTGTTTGAAATTTGAAATTGATCCTCGGACGAAATATTTTTCTTCTCCGGTTTACCTGCCACCTATTTGGTTCTTCATCTTCACTAGACGAGTCAAATAACAAGTGTCGCAACATATTTTTATACTTATAAACAAAATTATTGGAGACTACCGACTTGTAGAAATTTCATTACTGAAACGTCAAAATTTCTACAAACTAATGAAAATTATTTTATTTGTGCAACAAACACTTGTAAATTCGTAGAAATTATACTAATGGGTTTGAAAACTATTAGTTGTAACTTGTAGAAATTTATTAAATGATTGTGCAACAAAATTCCACAAATTACAATTTACAAGACTAATATTATTAGACTTGTAAGTATTGTGCAACAGGCCCCAGTAGTGATTTTTTGTTTTGTATTTTGTTATATCTTGTATTCATGATGTCGCATATTCATCTAACTCAATCCTACTGGTGTGAAAAAGCGGATCTATTTGATGCTTGATCATACAACAACAGATAGAGACCCCTTAAAAGTAACAAACATGATTTTTTACAAACTAGAGACAAAAAATATTCAAGAAGAATAAAATTTTATATTGCGGAGTAAAATTACGGAGTGATCAATTAATTTAACAGTGTTTAAACAAACTGAATTGTTTTTAATAACTTCATGTTTGTAGGAAAACGGTTATCGCTTCAATTATGACATATTTATACTTATCCTATTTAAACAGTATAAATGCTTCAGTTTCAAAAGTCCCCCTTGCTCCACGTTGGCCACCAACGAGCGAATTTTGTGCAACTTTGCTGGCTCTAAAGCTTTGAATTTCTTTGGCCTGGGTCGTTGGCTCAGCAATAACCCCGGGAAGATCTGGAGCAGGTCTTGCCAGGAAAGGAGAGGGCTAGGATTTGTTAATGAGGGATAGAACGTTATATAGTACAATAAAATACAATACAGCTACAATACAGAATACAGTACAAATACAGATGTAGAAATACTACAGATACAGATTTAATACAGTTGCATACTGAGTACCCAAGCACATACACCACCTGAAGAAATCTTTACCATCAAAATAAGCTGCGACCCATTTTATGAAAAGAGATATAGTTTCCTCAAACCTATAAGGCGTTTATGGCTTTGACGTTTAAAGTACTTTACAGCCGACCCTTCATAAAGCTTAGTAAATGTAAACCATGCCACGTGCCAGAGACGGCCGAGACGCGAAGGACCGGACTAAGAGTAATTTTGTTTCTTCCGTACCTTAATTATTTAATCATTATTCTGCACATTTGAAAATATTATTAAGATAATGAAAGCAAAAAATATAAAATCTTTAATAAATACGATCGCAATCATAGAAAACTGGTCCACAAAGTTTTTTGATAAATCAAATAATTTTGACGATGTCACCGGCCTTTGTTTCAAATCCAGAGGGTACATTCATATTGCTGTTATATTAAAAATAATACATGACTAGAGAGCGAAAAGTATGCAGCAAAATTTTGAGAAATATGATCATGTAATATGCATGAAATTTATGCAAATATGCTGTAACTTTATTAATATATGCAGAGATATGCAGTTGCATATCCTCCAACAATTGAAAAGAAGTGTAATAACACAACTAAATTTATTTACAAATTATAAAAACAGGTTTATCAAGCTTAATTTTTTTAATAAAAAATACATAGATAAATAAAATTTTTAAAAATTATTGTCTTACAGTAAATAGTGACAAATAAATAAAAATTAATAATAATAGGCCATTTAATTAGTATTTTTGTAGCAATTTATTTTTAAATACTTTTGGAAATATTGTAGCAAAAAATTTTGCCGATGATCCGAAAACATATTTTGTAAATAGAAATGCGGTTTGTAGCAGAAGCTACAAAACACAGTGCCTTCTTGAAGAATAAATTCAGGAAAAGACCAGTACAGGACACGGTTGATAAAAGCGTTAACTGTTAATTTAGAAGAGTCGAGTGATGATGACAGTGACTATTTCGATCAGTAAATAAGCAGTTGTGTTAATAAGTAAATAGTTGTGTATATCAAAATTCTAACTAATTTGCCGTAATAAAAAGTGATTGAGTACAAAGTTACTTTGTTTTTACTTAAAATAAAAAAATCGAAAGGCGCAGTTGTCGGTAAATGCAAAACTCAGTCCTGCCCTGTGCTTTTACCAGAAAAGGTCTTTTCAGGTAGGTATCGGTGAGCGGATTTAAGACATCCGGTTGTGACGGCCTATTGAATTATAATGGGAGTCAAATTGGTGTGAAGTCATAAACGCCAAATATGTTTGAGGGAACTCTACCTGAATGTTGTAAAATGAATACCCAAGCAAGCACACCAATTGAACTCGGACGAAAACTATAGGATCGCAGTACTCCCACGCCTAATGAAGAACGCAGCCGCATAAATCCAAGGCCGACTGATCTCATCCTCATGGAATGATGCGACCCAGCGTCCAAGGGCTAACAGAACCCTCTCAGGCTAAGAGCATCTGACGACATGGAGAATTCAGACTCGGAACCAAAACATGCACTGTTGCAAAATTAATACTCAAGCAAGTACAACATGAAAACCCACAAAGCATTTACACCACTGCCGTATTTTATAAATTCCAACGCTCTATTTTAAAAATGATGGACCCCGTACTTTATGGATGTTGGATACCGCACTTTCGTTCTTTAAAAATGATGATAACGCAAAACATTTTCAGTAATATTTATTAATAATAAATTAGAAATTCGCAAAAACGCGTTACTTTTACGCCGAAGTTGTCGCCATCAAATCAAAATTAAAACTGAATACAAAGGATCGAAATAGTGACCTTTGCTCAGATAGCTCACGTGACAGTGACGTCATCGTACATCACGATGAGATTTCAGAAATTATTTTTTAATATTTTGGCCGGGAAATTGCACATTTTCGGGCTAAATTGAGCAATGTTTAAACCAATTGAATTGTTTTTAATAACTTCATGTATGTAGGAAACCTGTTTTCGGTTTAATGATGATATATTAATACTTATCATATTTAAACAGTATAAATATTATTAATTATTATGTTTAAATATTAATTACTCCTCGGAAAAGTTATCCGCTTTGACTGGCCAACTTAAATCGTCTTCCGAAATTTCCCAAGAATTTAGAGATTTGTCAAAATACGAATTAGAGGCTCCGATAAATTAAAACTCAAATCGTACTTACCCCGCCGTTTTGGACAAATATCCACTTTCCTTCGTGTTCATAGCACTAACGCAATACATTTTCACTAATATTTATTAACAATAAATTAAAAATTCGCGAACACGTACTACTTTCAAGCCAAAACGGAGCTCCAAATGCCCCGATGTTGCTGCCACCAGACCGAAATCAAAACTGAACGCAAAAAACCGAAAAATCTGACCCTTGCTCAGGTAGTTCACATGAGAGTGACGTCATCGTACGTCAAGATGAGACTGCAAAAACTATTTTTGACGTTTCAACCGGGAAATTGCACATTTTCGGAGGTAATTTAACAATGTTTAAACAAATTGAATTGTTTAAAATAACATCATGTTTATAGGAAAACGGTTTTCGGTTTAATGATGACATATTAATACTTATCATATTTAAATAGTATAAAGAATGTTAATTGTGTTTAAATATTGTTTACTGTGTCATGATAATTTATATTTTTTTTTATATTTGTTGAATATACAAATCGCATATAAGACAATTCGTACGTACTCCTTTTTCCCGCATTTTTGGAAAAATATCCACTTTCCATCGTGTTTACAGCACTAACGTAAAAGATTTTGTTAATATTTATTAACAACTAGCTGACCCGGTGAACTTCGTTTCACCTACAATTTAATTTTGAATCTGCAAAACCGAATGCTTTGAAAACTTGCAGATGTTTTAAACATATGATAAGCATAATAAATTTTTATTCAAAATATATTTACTTATCCCCTCCAAAAAATTGATGACGTCAGCCCAAAATTTGCCAAATGAATCCTATCTAAAATGTCCAAAATAGGATGAATCTATACTTGTGATTTATTATTCCATTCATATTTTTTAGATTTGCTTATATAGGGTGACTCAAAAAAATTAATGAATGGGTGAATTAATTTTAATGATTTAATCAGGAACTGCAAAACCGAATGCTCTGAAATCTTGGAGATGCTTTAATGTTATCATAAGCATGGTAATTTTTTTATTAAAATGTATTTGTTCATTCCCCCTAAAAAATTGATGATGTCACCTGAAAATTTTGCTGAATAAATCCTATCTGAAATGTGCAAAATATGACGAGTTTTTACTTGTGATTTATCATCACTGCATTAATATTTTTTTAGTTTTGCTTAAACGGGGTGTCCCAAAACAATTAATCACTGGGTCAATTTCTTTTATTGACTGAAAACCGTAAATAAACTTTATTATTATCAAGAATTGTAAAACTGAATATTTTGAAATGTTGCAGACGTTTTGAAGTTACATGTTAGCTTTTTAATCAAAATATATCTGTTTATCAAGCCCAAAAACTTGATGACGTCAGTTCAAAAGTTTACCAAATAAATCCTACCTAAAATGTGCAAAATATGATGAGTATGTACTTGTGATATATCACTCCATTAATATTTTTTGGATTTGCATATACAGGGTGACTCAAAAAAATTAATGAATGCGTAAATGTATTTTACTGATTTACTCAGGAATTACAAAACCGAATGCTTTGAAATCTTAAACATGTTTTAAAATTATCATAAGCATGGTAAATTTTTTATCAAAATGTATTTGGTCGTCCCCCCTAAAAAAATTTATGACGTCACCACAAAATTTTGTTGAATAAATTCTACCTAAAATGTACAAAATATGGTGAGTTTCTTCTTGTCATTTATCATTCCATTCAAATTTTTTTGATTTCCATATACAGAGTGACTCAAAAAAATTAATGAATGCGTGAATTTATTTTATTAAGTTAAATCAGGAAC